GTCACTGTTCTGGGTGAGACCTCGGGTACACTCCCTGTACTGTCTGGAGTTCCTCAGAGATCAATCTTGGGGCCCCTTCTTTTCCTAGTATATGTGAACGATCTTCCACATTCCATCTCGGGCGAATCAACTGTGGCAATGTTTGCCGATGATACCAAGTGCTATCGTCCGGTGAAAGATTTACCCGATTGCGAAAGTCTGCAGAATGATCTCAATAATCTCGTGAACTGGTGTACTATCTGGAAGATGGATTAAATAAGTCTAAATGCGGAGTAATGAGCTTCACAAGAAGTCGCCAACCAGTCACAACAAATTATAAACTACTGGATAGTTCTCTGAAGCAACTATGTCATCAAAAAGACCTTGGGATTGTTGTCACAAAAGATCTCAAGTGGACGAAACAGGTTGAAGCAATAACATCAAAAGCGAGCTCAATGCTAGGCTTCATTCGTCGAACAGCCTCCGACACGCATAACATCCACGTGCGAAAGGTGTTGTACCTGTCCTTAGTGCGCAGCAAGTTAGGATATGCCAGCCAGGTGTGGGCACCTCAAACTGTCAGCGACATACTGTCAATAGAACGTGTTCAACGTCGCGCGACCAAATTCATCCTTTCCCTTCCTTACAGAACAGCCACAACATACAGGGAACGACTACTGGTTATCGGTATTCTCCCAGTCTGCTATTGGCACGAATTTCTAGACTTAGTTTTTCTTTACAAGAGCATTCTAAGCAACGATGTCAATGTGTCAGTACGAACAACCACCCGGACGACTAGAAACGCTGACCCTGTCAATGGTATTTTCTTAATGTATCTCGATGCAGGACAGTTAGCTACAAGAACAATTTCTATGTGAGAGCGCCTAGCGTATGGAGCATTCTCCCTAGCAATATTCGTGACACTTCAAGATCATTAGCTTACTTTAAAATCTCCTTATTCAATTACTACTTAAACCTTTTAGATCAAATATACAACCCGGACAATCCTAGAACATTTAAGTCCGTGTGCGTCAAATGCCACTCAACTCGGTCTCTTGATAGTTTATTAGTGAGGACATGTTGTTGACATTTTAGCATAATTTGTTTTAATGTTATATATTGTAACTTATTGTGAGGGACCCCATAATTGGAGATTATCTCTGTGGCTAGTCCCTGCCCGAATTGTATGTAAATTTTGTAAAGTATTAGTCTTATTTATGTCTGTTATGTTTGGCGAATCTTGTAAAATTAAAAAAAAATAAAATTAAAATTAATGATAATAATGACTAACAGTAACAATGGGTTTGAATATCAGGTATGCTAATGTATAAGTGTCAGAGCTTGAGCATCTGATGAGTCATCGACTTCGCGTTTTCCAGCCAATTTATATGTTTCACTAAGCCTCAGTCAAATATGCCTTTAATAAACGAAAATCTGTTTTAATCTTAAGGACAGAACCTGTTAGTAACATACAGTATATTTTTAAATACCAGCCGAATTCCGTGATTTGCCAATCGGTAAACTGCTATTTAGAGGCTGAAATAATACATTCGATACTGTATTCGTTACGCGGTAATAAATGTAAAGCGCATGCAGTGACTTGAATTCTAGTTTACTAATCTGAAATTTTCGATTCTACTAATCTTTAGTTTTGTAGCGAAAAACATATACACGCTAACACGCGGTAGTAAATAGTATAGTAATCTGGTGCTACCAAGTACCAATTAGATTACTGTAGTTGCTGTGCATGTATAGCGGAAAACATTCTATAGATATACGATAATGAGCCATACGACTACTATTCGGTAGTAAATTTAAAGGCGCATTGATTTTGATATTAGAAAGCCGATTGTTAATTCCACACTTCAAATATATTACACTCAGTCGCGTGCTGCAACAGGATGATTATAATTATATGACATTAGTAGTTCAAATGTCGAAAAAAAGCATGCATTTTATTAAAATACTCAGTATCATAACGGTAATACCCATCTACGACTCTTAATTTTATCCATCTATGTTTATGTCCCATGTAACCGCACAACTCATTATATGGACTTATTAACAGTATATCGTACCTTTTTCCAAGATCCAAACACGCGATCTGCAGTGGACCGATTTCGTTGACGAACAAGGTTATATAGGCTACTCACTACATTATCGCTACAAATTCGTAAATGCGCCTCATTGACCATATGATTAGTTAAGGTTTATGAATTATGATCGTTTCATATCCGCCAAATTGCACTCTCGTTGTTTGGTCACGATGCTCAAGCTTGGTTGTTACGTATCCATATCGAAAGCATCAAATTTTCATTTTCAAAGTTTGACATACTCTCGCTAATAGCTTATGGAAAAACATTGGACAAAAGGTTCTCTCCTGATTTATAGTCATATAGAGAAATATTACACAAATATAAACGGTTATTCATAATAATGACTAACCGTAACAATGGGTTTGAATATCAGACATGGTAATTTTCAGTGTCAGAGTCTAAGTATCTGATGAGTCATCGACATCGCGTTTTCAGCCAATTTATGTTTCACAGTCAGTCTCAGCCAAATATGCTTTTATAAAACGAAAACGAGTTTAAAGGTAATTGGATTGCACGTTGAAACACAAAATAATAATAACTTTATATGTGTAATTGAAAAGTTTTCCTCAATAAAAATTAACTTTTACTGTTGCTACTACCAAAATAAATTTTCATTGACATTGACAAACAGTATTGTAATGTTCGGCCAACATTATATACTGCTGCATATATGCTAAATAAAAACGGCAACACTTTTCTTAATAATATCGCAGTATTTCTTTTTCTCAAATTTTTGTCGACCCTGTTTTCCAAAGCCGTTGCTACGGGTTGCGTTAATGTCTGTTTGGGAATTTCCGCCGACAGGCACGACACGCGTCTTACACTCATCTCTTTTCAAAACAAAAAAATAGCGGGCAAAAGCAGTCAATACAATATGTCTATACATTCATTATAAACGTCGGGAATATTTCGAATATACAAGAACTGTTGCACGAGGTATTTCACTCGTGAATAGCAAATCATATACTCTTGCTATACAGTGACAAGCAAGGATCTACAGTTGAAGTCGAATTCAATGGTTTGGACTATGACGGCTCTATCGTTTTGAAGCTCCATGGTAAGTGCTGTTGTTGCAGCCGCTAATCTCAAAACTTTTATGGCTTCCCCTGCTAAATATACAGGTTAATTAATAACTCTCTCTCTCGAGCATACGCGGACAATTTCGAGTCGGCATTTTAAAACGTAAATTTGTCTCGAAATTTGTAATCGTCTGATAACTTCGGAAAATTAAAATTGAAAGACGCTTAGATGCGAAAATTGGGAAACGATAGTTAATTTCCGATTACGGGACAAAAAAATTGCGGTGCTGTCTCGGCAATGGTCGACTGCGGTTTTTGTTTAAACGCGTTCAAACCTTACTCAACTTAGATTAAACCTCGGTCAGACCTCACTCAAACCCCGGTTAACCTAGGTTAAACCGAGGTCAAACCGAGATCTAACTTAGGTTTGACCGAGGTCTAACCTAGGTTTGACCGAGGTCTAACCTAGGTTTGACCGAGGTTGGACCTAGGTTTGGCCGAGGTTAACCGCGGTTTTTGTTAGGTTATTTCTGGACAGTACTGTATATTCCTCTTCAGCTTTTTCACGGACTTCCCGACACTCGCTATTAGTTGTACTGGTTGTCGCCAAAGACGTATGCATCATACTATCTTGATCAAACGATTTTGACATTTCTAATTTGTACTCTATGCTATAGGTCTCTGATACTGTTGTAACGACCTTACGTCTCTATGACCGGTTTTTCCATAATTAACTTATCTCGCATTCCCTTTACGAGACCACCAGTTGCCATTGTCGCTCTAAGACTGTGATTTGTCAAGTTGCCTTCTATTCCAGCATCCCGGCAAAGCTTCTTAACCTCCCCTCCAAGTGTGTTGTAGCCCACTGGATTTGAAGTGAACAAAACTAAAACACAGAAAATTCAGCTGAAGCTAAATTGAAATTAACTACAATATATGATAAAACTAACTAAATAACTTGTTTGTACCTTTATCTGAATCAGAACACTTTCGGTGAGGACTCAAATAAAATATGTATTTCGCTACAGCTTCTGAGCTGCATTTCCCCACATATTTCTTGTACAATCGAACCAAACATCGACTGGGACACTCTTCATTTATATAATGTTGCACACGCTTTCGCTTCATATTGCGATTTCTCCCCGAAAGAAACGTACACCAATTTCTCAGGTTCCGTGCCAGATGCCGGCTCCAGTGTCAATTGGCTGAACTTTAGAAGACGGTGCTCTCTACCACTTCGAAGTGCAAAGTTTTTTCTTATTAGAAACACCATTGTGTTTAATAACACACTTGCTGTATGATCCCCTAGGAGCTTAGAAGTCCAGAGTTTATCCTCATCAGCTTCAGAAAAGGCTTGAGCTTGTTTAACGTTTCCACCAATACCCTGCCCTGTTAGGCGCTTCATTTCTGCATCAATCGAGTCCTGAAAATGAAAATGTTTAAAAGTAGGATCTTCGAAGAAATTTAAAGCTGGACAACCATTATTTCTTAGATATCGTAGCAAAGCACAACACAACAGATACAGAGTAATTAGGCGGATAGCATTCCCCTTCGACAACAAATTTCGGTAACTAATGCCTATAGTAAGTTCTACATCACTGACTTTACAAATATCCGACTCGACATTCTCGTTGGCTTGTGCTTTACTATTCCTTTCGTCCGTCCACTCTTTCCACACACGAACTGCCCATGCTGTATTATGCTTCGTGTTTAACATGATCCGGGTTTCCTTAATTTTCTGTAACTCTTCGTCGCTAATAAGTGATATAATTCTTGCATTTGTTGACTCAGCTTGACTAGTATTTGCACTTGTAGACTTGCTGTTACCAAAATCAAGATTTTAGTCTCTAAAATACTTGAAATTAAACTTAATTCGTTACCCAAAATAACAGGATCCGCTAAAAATGTATCTTGGGTTAATCCTGACAGTGAAAAATCTTCCTCGTTACTATCCATTTTGTGAAGTGCGAATGCAAACAATTCGCCAAAGTGAGGCCAGAAAATTTTACAAAAACATGTAGAAGAACAAAATAAGAATAACTTAACTAGCGTATAACTTAATTAAAGCTCCTTTGGGATCTTCATCTCTTTTTGTACCTATGTGTTCGCTAATTTAGCTCAACAATGTAATTTATCATAAAATATGCGAATTTTGTATATAACGAGGAAAATAGTCTCAACCAGTTATGTCAATTATTGTAGCCGCAACACGAGGCGATTAACTCACCAAGTTTCTCGCGTGTGCGACAGATTTTATTAAACTTTGTTTACCTCTAAATTACACTTGCCCTTCTTTATAAAGAAATCTAAGTGGCAATTAATCACATAAAACTAGATGCATGCAGAATCCGGCCTTACCTTGCTAACAAAACCATTATATTTTCCGAACATGAAGTCCTTAAAGTTGTTGTCATGGTAACACTATTTTATTAAAAAATATTTTTTTAATTAAAGTTCTACACTGAAATTATTTGCTGTCTTTTTTTCATTATATGCATGCAACGATCAGTTTTTGAAGCAATTTTGAAGCAAATAATACATCAACAAACAATAAACGTATCGTCAGTATTAAAGTGTCTATGAAAGAATATTTTATGATTGAATAAAAAATACTTTTCATTTTGTATGTGAATGATCTTCCAGTGGCAACTAAGAATTCTGTTGCACTTTTTGCTGACGACAGTAAATGTTACCGTGCATATCAGTCACCAGCCGATCGAGATATCTTACAGAGGGTCCTGAAGGGAGGTCGTATTCCCATTTCCCAGCCCAAATTTAGACTAAATCTCATTGTCCCAGAGCACAAATCCCATCATCTCAGTGGCTGTCTTGCTCAAATCTTAATCCCATTCCCATTTTCTATTGTTTTTTGCTGATGAATCCCAGTCCCAGTGCATGAAATCCCATTTTATCACCCAAAACTAAGCAAATCCCAGTTCCCATTTTACCCCTTCAGGACCCTCCCTACAGACTGATCTTGACTCTATGAACAACTGGTCATCGAATCTCTTGGCAGTTGAAATTTAATGTATCTAAGACGCTCTTGCTCAGGATATCTCGCGGGAAACGCAACTCTCCAACTCACTCTTACAAGGTCACTGCAATCTTGCGATCCTGGAGGGTGTTCAGAGACGAGCTATTAAATTTATATTTCAAACGTCTTAGGAAACTTATTTTATTGCCTATATCTTACTGGCTTGAAATAAAGAATTTCATCTTTTTTTTCAAATACAAACGAGCATTTGACTTCCATTTGACTTTCATATAGTTATGTAAATAGTGCTCTAGTCCTTGTCTTTAATGCATGTCTACTTCAGTTGTTTTGTATCAGGTTGGTCTTCACATTGGACTCATGTCCTGTTTACCACACCTTCAATCATTGTTATATTTTGTATGATTGAAAAGTTAATAAATAAATAAATAAATAAATGAATTGCAAAGTTCATTTGAAATCATAATGTAACTTTTTTAAACATTAATATATTTCCTGTATGTCAAGATATTGGACTTTGTTTGGCATGCAAAAATAATGACTTAAATGACGTCACACTGCATAATATATTTTACAGAAGACTGTTTTAAGCTTGATAAAATTGTTATTAGCTCACATTTGCGGACGAAATGATAGCTTTGATGGTTCTTAAAGTATATAACTCTCAAAGTCAGTGGAATTATCACATGTTTGGCAAGCAAACGTTTTTATTCTAAAAACTCATTATGCAGTGTGACATCATTTAAGTCATATTTGCATGCCAAACAAAGTCGAATCATCTTGACACACAGGAAAGATAACAAAGTTTTAGCGGAAAAAAGGTTACATTATGATTTTAAATGACCTTTGTAATTCAATCATAAAAATTCTTGCATAGGCACTTTAACGTCGGCGTCTTTAAATTATTTTGCTCTCTTCTTCTCGCGAGCTTTTCGAACACCCCGGCCCACATCTTCTGCACTTTCTCCAGTTTGCTAGATGAAAATACGTCTGCTGATATGAATTAGATAGAACCAATGGATGCTTTCATGTTGTTCGTTTTTATTTTCACGTTTAGTTTTATACATTTTCTTGCTGGCGGAGCGATGTTTATGTCGATTTATGGTACGTTACTATAAAAGTTAATTAAGTTATATTAATTAACTTCATATATATTTTTAAATTTATACTTTCAATAATACTTATTCTTTTTTTTAATTAGATCAATTTTAAGTACGCTTCCTTTAAGGATGCCTCTTTTATACACTAAAGCCAAAGAGAAAAGTCGCATTCGAGTATATAAAAGTCGTGCAGAATAAGGTTGAAGGCTTGCATGTGATTGTGATTGTTTAACTTATTCCGGCCTAATAGTAAAAATGACGACGATTATAGCTTTCTTTTCCATACTTTGTATATTTTAATATCACCTAATTGGCATATTTCATTATCATGACTAAACTATTTCAGCCCAGCCTCAAAATTCCCAAATTGTAAACAAGCCCTAACGGTTTGAGTCTCACTTGCAGGCATGCATGAGATGCTATTTCCTGGTCTTATTCTAACTGCAGTTGGTGGTGGATGTTATATGTCAACTCTGGTCAAGGTACTGAGATTACTAGGCATATCCATGCAATATTAAAAATATCAAGCGAGGTTTTATATAGAAGAAAGGTTTACTGATTCTTTCTACACGATCTGTCAACAATCTGTTCTCTATTCCAGCATAGATTACTCAGCCAGGGAGGCGGTGAAGTAGAAATAAGCGAAGTTGCCATCAAGGTTGGCATGGATGGGTCTCCTCTAGAGAATGTTCGTAAATTTGAGTTATTAGCGCTTCATTTTCTTCACGAAACACAAACAATGTTTGTACTTAAATTTCAGGGGGAGCAGTGCTGGGAATGGCGGAAAATTGATCAGCCAAGTGACGTGCACCTATAAATTAGGCCCTGTTTTGCTGTTGGGACAACCAACTGGCAGTACATGGTATGCGAATGAGCATGACGAAAATGGAAGTGCTAAATGTCTCAAGAAGACAACCAGTACCAAGGCTGGAGATTATAGTGGATGGACAGCAAATGGAACAAGCAATAGCCTTCAGCCAGGTTGTAGCTAGGAAGCTGCCAATACGAGAGTAGAGATTTCGACAGAGAGATATAGGCAAGATTTCAGGGTACAGGAAATACATGGAGGATTGTAAATGCAATAACACACGATAAGCGGATGCCGATTAGACTGAAAACGCAGGTGTACAAAGCGATGGTAACACCGGTGATTCTTTATGGGGAAGAACTGAGCGTAAAGGAAGAGCATGAGAAGAAATTGGAAGTGGCAGAGATTAGATGTCTTCCAACCATTAGGATTATTCTTGAATCTTCGAATGCTTCCAGTAAGTTGGACCCTATTCCTACATCATTGGTTAAACTCTGTTGTCATGAATTGGCCCCAATCATCGCTGAAATCATTAATCTCTCTTTTTCTGAAGGAATTGTACCCGATCATTGGAAAATGGCGCTACTTCTACCTCTTTTGAAGAAATTTGGACTTGATTTTATGTTTGAAAACTTCAGACCTATAAGCAACCTGCCATTTGTTGCCAAGTCTGCTGAGAAGGCAACGATCTCTCAGTTATCTATACATTGTGCTGAAAATGCCCCTTTTCCCGAGTATCAATCAGTGTATCGGAAAAATCACTCAACAGAAACAGCTTTACTAAAAGTCCAGAATGACCTTCTCCTCAGTATGGATCGGCAGGAGGTTACGCTTCTTGTGCTTATCGACCTAAGTGCCGCATTTGATACTATCGACCATGCTATCTTACTGGAGACACTTGAAAAAGACTTTGGCGTAACTGGAAATGCCCTCAAATGGCTAACATCTTATTTATCCGAGAGAAAACAAACAATTTTAATTAAAGACCATGAATCGGAAGTTTTCAATCTTCAATCGGGAGTTCCGCAAGGTAGCTGCCTGGGCCCTGTCCTCTTCATACTCTATGTGGCTGGGTTATTTAAGGTTATTGACAAACATCTTCCCAATGCACATACGTATGCAGATGACACCCTGATTTATCATTCGTTTCGGCCGGATACGTCTTTATCACAAGATGCTGCACTAAAGAGTATTGAAAACTGTGTTGCTGACATTCGTGCCTGGATGCTTTCTAACCGTCTCTTGATAAATGATTCCAAGACTGAATTTATTATCATCGGTTCAAAGCAGCAAATGTCAAAGATTAACATCAATGAAATTACAGTTGGTGAATCTACGATCGAGCCTGTGGAGGTGGTTCAAAGCCTCGGAATGTGGTTTGACTCACATATGTCGATGGATATTCACATCGGAAAAGTGTGTAGTAAGGCGTTTCGCAGCCTCTATAATATCCGGCAGATAAGGAAATTCCTTTCAGAAGATACAACAAAGATTTTGGTTCATGCTTTTGTTACTTCACACCTGGACTACTGTAACTCATTGTTTTATTGTTTCCCACAGTCTCAATATGATAGGTTACAAAGAGTTCTCAATGCTGCAGCACGTGTGGTCTGTTTAATCCCCAAATTCGATCATATTACTTCTGTTTTGATTGGCCTTCATTGGCTTCCTGTACGGTATCGGGTGATTTTCAAGATTTTGTTGCTGGTGTACAAGGCTCTTCATGCTAATGCACCGCCTTATATCTCAGACCTTCTGACACCTAAGCATATTGGTTGCTACAGCCTCCGCTCGAATGAGCACAATTTGCTAATAGTTCCTAAGACAATGAGGAAAACGTTTGGCGACAGAGCTTTTGCCAAGGCTGGTCCATTTTTGTGGAATGAACTTCCCGCTGACATTCGTGAAGCGTCAACTGTGGAAACTTTTAAAAGCAGACTTAAGACCTTTCTTTTTAGAAAGGCATTTTATCTTTAAATGTAATAGTAAATTTGAACTTCTGCTGACATTCGTGAGGCGTCAACAGTGGAAACTTTTAAAAACAGACTTAAGACCTTTCTTTTTAAAAAAGGCATTTTATCTTTAAATATAATAGTAAATTTTAAACATGTATATATAGGTATCATCTCATACTTTATAACATTTTATTTGAATTTGTAATGATAGCGCTTTAGAATATTTATAGTTTTAGCGCTTTATAAATTAATAAATTATTATTATTATTTTATTACCTTAGCAAAAACATATTTAACAAAAAAATGCTCAACAATTAAGCAATACAAAGCTGTTATTAACCCATTAGATATAAACATTTCTAAATCAACATAATATAACACTATCCAAAGGCTTGTCTCGCATCCATTCCCCAAAACCAGCAATATACAAGCAAATTTATAACTCTTTCTTAAATACAGAATAAAACATGTACAACAGATACTTCTTCAGACACAAAACAAACACAATTACAGACACCCCTTTAAGCTCTCAAAAAATTTTCACAACCGCTATACCTGATGACAGTAACCTGCAAGATTACATTTCAAACATTTATCATGATCTCAAAACTGAAATTGAGAAACACTAAGAACCTGCAAAACCAAATATATCTAAAGATTAACTACAAGCTATCCATAACCTTAAACTAACTGATAATGATTTGATGGTTAAGCCAGCAGACAAGGGAGGGGCCATTGTAATCTGGCCAAAAGATACCTATCTAGCTGAGGCATAAAGACAATTAAATTACTCAAATCATTACCAAAAACTTACAAATGACCTAACCCCTAGACAGAAACAGAGACACTAGAGACACTAGCAGAACCTAAAAGACTTGCCAATAAACTCCACATATCAGACGTACAGTAACTGACAGTACAACACACAAATTTCTCACAATAGATACACAAGCAAGAACACATCGCTATCCTTTACCAAACAATTCACAAACAGGACACTCCAGGAAGACCAATAATTGCAGGCTGCGGAGGACCGACTGTCAAGCTCTCTCAATATGCTGACCACCTCCTCATGCAAAGCACTCCTAAAACATATACTATCATATGTACAAGACACAACAGATTTCCTCCGCAGAATTTTCTCAATAAATCAAGGCTTACCATATATGACAACTTCATACTTATCATATTTGAAGTTAAGAGCCTCTATACCAACATACCTAATGATCATGGCATCCAAGCCTGTGTAGATATGTTGAATGAAAGCAATATAATAACTCCTGAACTTAAATAATCAGTTATTGAGATTTTATCTCTCATACTTAATAAAAACTCCTTTGCAATTAACAATGAACACTTTCTACAAAATCATGGTACCACTATGAGATCATCTATATATGGCACCCACCTTTGCAAACATATTCATGGCAATATTGGAATGGAAGCTTCTCAACGAAGTACCACAGGGTCTTATACCAATTAAATGGATAAGATTCATAGATGACACATTTGCAATTTGGACCCATGACATTGAAAAACTCCAGAAATGCTTATCATACATTAACAACTTCCATCCCACAATTAAATTTGACTATACTCATGCTCATAAAAATCAGTCAACTTCCTTGACACAACTATTTACATTAATTCCAACAACCGACTCAAATCAGACGTATACATCAAACCAACTAGTAGAACTCTACTCCTGAATCAATATTCCTCCTACCCCCAAACATGCAAAAACTCTGTTATCTACAGCCAAGCAATACGATATATACGCATCACCACTAACAGTAAGAAACTACAACAAAGACTGGACAACGTACTTATTGCCTTGATGCACAAACATGACAACATTATCCGACATCCTTTAACAGAGCACTACTGTACACACAAAATGACCTACTTAACAAAACAGAAAATGCAAATAAAGCAACTAACAGACCGATCTTTGCAACTCAATACAACAGTAATACTAAGTAAATGCATTGCACAATGGCCAACCACACAAGCCCGCCGTACATTACAGCTATTAACACACATCCGATCCATAAACAATAAAACAAACACTCAAGTACAGTACGTTATCTCAGTTCATTACCCACCCCCCTCTCACGGCTCAACCATTTTTTACCCCAAGTCTCAAAAAAATATCTCAAAACACCATTGCACAACAACACTTAAAATAAATCTCTCAACATAAAATAACAAGTTCACAAACACTATTATTACATGAAGTAAACAGATACAACCCAGTATATACACAATTTCCAAAATGATCCTTCAACACCCCTACAATCCATACAACAACCTAAACGCCCATATTATGTACTCTTCACCTTACTCACTCACTGCGTATGACCAAACACGCAATTTATACAGCTGCATACAGACGCTCTATATAAACGCTATAGTTTTACCACATCCATTCGTGATTACAATCATGGCCCAACGTGTTGGTTTGACAAAAAATATCAGCGAATTTGGTAAGACACTTTATACTTTACATTTATTTCACAATAATCATACACATATTTTACTATTTTTATGTTTATTCACTCTGTAATCCAAATCGGTTTCTGTATTCTTCCTTCTTATACATGTGCCAACCCCAATCCCTGCTGACGAGTCCATGAAGGACGAAACGCCGCGTACAGGGATACTGAAATTTACACACATGACTTTCTCATCTCGCTTTATATATTTTACATGCCTCTATACAAGCTTTTTAGTACAGCGCGATCATACTTTTTGGGTCTGATCATTTTTTTACACAACAGGATATATTTTACTCTTACAATTTCACACATACATCTTCAATTTTATGTTCCACAAGTCTATAACCTACACTTATATTTCTTAGGTTCACATTTATACAAATACAAGTGGTTTTTTATCTTTTATCCTCAGGTTTTTCAAATACAACATTTTTTCACAGGTATGCATTGTGATTGTGGCAACAACACCAGGCCATTACCCTATCATATTTCACACTACATTTTTTCATCTAACATTTAGGGACTGTTGTTGCATAAAATTATTACTAGGACACCAATATGGTTCTCATTACCTACATCTAAACCTAAAAAAACGACGTGAAAATGGCGAGAAAATGGCGCGGCATATCCATATACATGGGCACAGCACGCCATTTTCACGTCGTCTTTGACGTCCGTGTCCTCGATCTAAATCTGTCTTATACAGGGTGTATCAAAATAAACGCAATTCATCTTTTGTGCTTAATAACTTTCGAAATACTATTTCTAGTTAAACGCTTTTAGGCTTACTTCAAAGCCTGTTCTTTTCTCTTTCAAACAAACTATTATCCTTGTCTCCAATGCTAGTAATAATTGCACAGGAAAAGATTTAGTAAACCTATCATTTTTAGTTGCTGTTTAATTATGCAAGTTTACTATGTTATTGTTTAGTCGGTTTAAATGTTAGAATTTTCTTCTTTAAACTTTAATGTTGTCGTCACTACATCTGGAAAATCACGTAAGAACAAATTAAAAGTATTTTAAAAGAGACCAGGTTGTTTGAAAATCCTAAACGAATGCTAAAAATCGTCAAAACATTCTGGTGTCTGAGCCAGAGTGTCATCGAATTGCGATGTAATGTAAACAGAAATTATAGCAAGTTGATGCCAGTCAGCTTAGATGGTCCAAGCCAAAATTACATCGCATTTGAAGTTACAAACTGAGTTAAAAATAGTGGAAGAAAAGCCGTAATTATACTTATTGTTACAATCCATTTAATAAAATGCAACATTTGTTTGTTTTAATGAAAAAATCAGTTATTTTCATGAGAACGATTTGTTATTCCATCTCAATTTTTTTAATCTCCAATCGCAATAACGTAAAGTATTATTACCCGCGAACCAATGAGTCAAATTTAAGAAACAACCTACTGTTAGAAAGCTGAATGGCTACGCTTTAAAATGAATGTAAACTTTAACGTTTTCGTTTATTATTTGTTTAGCAATTTACATTTCAGTCGAGGATTGCGCTTTTTTTGATACACCCTGTATATCTTGTGTAACACCACTTCGAATTAATTATCCTCTTTGCAATTATGACTTCATAGAAGCTCGTGGGAAGGTTTTGTCCCGGATCCCAGCGCAACCTCTCTGCGGCCCTGGTTGTACCCATTTTTAGTACAAAGAGAAGTTTCATTTGCAACGGATGACAAGCCATTGAAAGTAAAAGGAAACCACTCGTACGGTGCAAGCAATCCGAAGGAAATTATGTTACGTTAAATGAAACTTTTTAAAATTATAACAAGCTTTCGTTGGTAGGGATCCAACTACCTGAAAATATACTAGAGTAATTTCTACATTTCGAGCAAAGCCCGTGGAGTTATAAACTCCAGACAAAGGGCCTCCTCGAAACATCGAAATTCTCTTATATTTTTCAGTTGCATCCCTGTCAATGAAAGCTTGATTATTGGCACTACCTACTCTTTCACAGACAGATCAAGATTCAAATTATAATATCTATCATTTAATTTAAACGGGCAACTCGTCTAAAATTCATTCAGCAACATACGAATTTTCCGTCTCAACTTTCCCCTCTAGCTCTCCCATCCAGACAGGAAAGTTCGACAGGAACCTCGTCTAGACGAGAAGCTCGTCTTAAATTCGCACGCAGATGGATAAAGCAAGGGAAAACTGAAACTAGAATTAACGAAGATAATTAAACACACAAACGTATACATAAAACGATTTCCGTATTATACTCATACAAGTTTTTATAGACGAGTTTCCCGTCTCAATATGAATTTGGCTATACAATCATCACTACCTTTTACTCGGTTTGCTAGCAGATTTGGTTAATTTTGGGCTGGCATTTGGTAACTATGACATCGCATGCGGAATGAAAGCAAGGTCGTCTTACACCAAATGCGAGCTCAAAATTGAAGGTGTGGGCTGATTATCAAGCTGGCCGATTGGGCGAGCTTGAATTGGAACTGGACAAAATCTCTGATAAATATAACTATAGCATGAAACATGTGCCTTCATCTCTATAAAATCGGAACATTTGTGGTCAAAGTTTCTTGAAATCGACTGTAAATTTATTTTCCTTCCATAAATGTCTACAAATGCTGTAGGGTTAAACAATCTAAACACAATCTGTCAAAGTCAAAGAGATTATTTATTTGGCTCCCTTGCGCTGATCCACTGTAAATTTGCAGAAAGTGGTAAAAGTTCCAGGTTATAGCTTAGTTGACACATAACCTATCCTTGGGATCTTTGAGTCAAAATTATGCATTTTATTTTAACTGTAAAGAAAATATCTTTTTTCTTGTCTTCAATCTTGGACTTTCCTTCCATGACTGCCTTCAACTTTACTCACCCGCTGACAGCTACACATGCAAAAATTCACAGGCGGATTCGTAGTAAGGTTATAGTCCATTGTTATGAAACAGCCTTAAGCCGGGTTTTCACTTTAATCGTATGTACCGAAACGTAGCGTATTTCTTTGTTTTCTGAGCGGTAGTGTGGAGCTAATGAGTTTGACACAAAAGAAAATGCTACAGTACGTTGCGATACGGTTGGAATGGAAAACACGGGTTAATACTTGTCGTTTTGAAGCATGTCAGAAGGTGGAACCTAGGTGTGGCGTCACCGCTAAAGATGCTCCACTCGGTGCACCCATTGAACAGAAAGTAAACTGGAATGATAACTCCTATATTTGGGTGAAGCCAACTTTCGGGCGCTCATGTATAGCCTGTTAAAACATAATATATACACTGAATTTCTCACGAGGTATTTTTATTGATTGAATCCTTAATTTTATAACTTATTAAAGTACATTTCTGGATGTTTGAACATCCATTATCTTCATAAATTGTATAAAAATATCTCTAGTGAACTCTTTCTGGAAAGTCTAAAAACTCTTTGATGAGTTTCGTTTTGTTATTGTCATATTTTGGCGGTTAATTAATTAAACAATATTTGCTTATTTTATGTGCTTTAAATAAAAGTTGCGCTGTCTTAGTGTGCTCTAGGATAAAAGTAAAGGTGAGAAAACGATTTTTAAGCTCTATAGTTTTCGCATATATTTTGTAAAAAAGAACTGCATGGGGCTACCTGCAGAAAGATGGTGGCCAACTTACCGTTTCAGTTTAGCTATAGTTCAATGGGTGCATCACGACTTTACTTAGTGCCCCAAAACAAAATAAGAGTCATTCTCGTACCCAGAGCCCTTCTTACGTGCGGTGCGACGAGGGGCTCTGGCCAAATCCATAACCTGATACCATAAAAACATGGTAAGAAAACAATATCCGGTGTTAGAACTAGCCAATCAGATGCCAGTTCGGATATGGATTTGGCCTGCAGAACCCCTCGTCGCACCGCGCGTAAGAAGGGCTCTGGGTACGAGAATGAATAAGAGTGCAAACCAAAAGAACAGCGCACGGAAACAGAGTGCCTGGGACTTGGCTGAAGATAAAATAAATATAATTTATTTAGGCTAATTAAAATTGCTATTTTCATTTTTAGATTGGGTAAAAGTGTTGGTGCAAAACCTTGGCTTACAATAATCCTGTCTCTCGTCCTGAGCGCTGTATGTTTGCTTGGTTTGCTGAATTTCCAGAAAGAAGGAAGGATGGAGAAGATGTGGGTTCCTGAAAAGTCACAAGCTTTGAAAGATAAAGTCTGGGTGGAAGCAAGGTTTCCGGAAAAATTTCACAGCGCTGTTTTCATTCTACAACATGCAAATGTTCTGACAGTGGAAAGTCTTCGCAAGGTTTAAGCATTTCTTTTTCAAGACTGTGTAAAAGATGCCTTCGGTTTCGAAAACAATTTCCATTCATAATGTATTGATATAATGAGGCCCTTAATTTCAGATGTTTCCCATATGTTGACGATTTGTGAAAATTCTAAAGACTATTTTACTGTTTCAGATGATGGAAATTCATTCGCGCGTTGTTAATATCACCATTACATCTGAGGGAAAGAAATTATTTTGGACAGATATGTGCTTTAGGTAGGCAATAATTTGTTATCAAGAGACCAGCAGCTGTTAGCGAGAGGTTGTTACGACAAATAACAGCTTGTAAAGTACCCTAAAGTAGTTTAGGTAAATGAGGACGAAACTGTATAAGATTTACAGATATCGATTAAGCATTCATTTGTTGAATTTTCTTCACCGATTATCAAAGGACAAAAACAATGTTATGGAAAATCAAAGCAGTGTTTGGAATTATAATTCACTAAAATAAATATTGTTTATCTTGAAGGGTTGGAGGAAAATGTGCGATGCAAAGCATTCTGGAATTGTGGTTATTCAAAAAAGCGGAACTTGAGAAGAATTTGACTAATGAGGAAATATTTTGTGAGCTTGAAAAGCGACAGACTTTCAGGTATTGGTGAAATGCTTTTTATAAAAGGAAAAAAATAGTAGAATAGTCTGATATAGTATATTGATAAGTATATAAATCCGGCGAGAAGAACCTTGCAATAAAAAATGCCTGTATCAAATGGTCTCAGTTTTGTCAACTAACCCTTATTGGCAGCTGCAGCTAGGATCGTGGGAAACAAAGTCGAGAGTCCACATAACATAAAACAAAACAGTTGAAGGGCCGAAATTTACATTCGTGGAAATTGTGGTTTGATTCCTGTCAGTGACGTTTGTAAAATAGCATTTTAAAAACGCGGGCGCTGATTGGTCAAAAGCTAAAAAAAAAGTGTTTCTATAACTTGATAGAAACACGAGGAATTTTCACGCGGGTCTTGTGGATTGCGCGGGAGTTTGAAAGACAAAATACAAGCAATATTTAATATTGTAAAAAAGTTGGAAAACGTCCGGAAACGCCAAAGAACCGACACAAAAAAGGCAACGTACGCTTTACTAACTTTGAGCATGAAAGCGAACTAAAGCACAAAGTATAATATAGCATACATTGTATCTGTTTGACTGTTTTCCAAGGTAAAATATTTTAATTTTACTTTGTCTTTTTAAAAAAATAATATTTCCTCCGGACGTTTTTAATCATGTTTACTATGTTTTTAATCCTTCTTAATCATGTTTAAACGTTCACTAACTATTTAAAACAGTGTTTTCTTTGAAAGCATGTACGTTCTTAAGTGCTGTCTGTTGTTTTGACAGCGATATACCCGTTTACATGGGTAGGCTTTTACTAATTATTCTTTACACGAATGTATACTAAGATAGAATTAATATTTGAATGAATGTAATTAAAATCAATAAATTTATCTTTTTTATGTACTATTTAAAGCACGCGTAGGAGTGTTTTATCACTATATAAAACACGACGCGTAGCGGAGTGTTTTATATATATGTGATAAAACACGACTACAAGTGCTTTAAATGGCTTCAAAAACGACTCATCTTATACGAGTTACTGGCAAGTAATTTTTAAAATAAACTTTGTCTAAACCAAGAAAATCAAAGCAAAAGTTTATGTAAATTAACATGATTTTTTATCACATATAAAACCACGACACGCTTATGATTTTTCTTTGTGTTTTCCTCCTGAATTATTAATGAGGTTTTGAATGTTTTTAAAAGGCTATTTAATAAAGGAAATAGAAAACATTTTTGCGTGTTCGTATAGAATTTATAGAAACACTTGTGGAAGTTGGGAGAAATTCGTAATTGCGTGGAAATTTCCACGCAATTTCCCGTTTCTCCCAAACGTCCACGTCACGCGTGTTTCTATAACTCTATGGAAACACGGAAAATGTTTTCTATTTGTTAAATAGCTTCTTTTTTCGCAGCTATTCCTGGTTAAATCTAATAAATGTATATATTAAATTTTCACTCGATAATTTCCGTCTACAAGGCTTTCAATTATTCATTGAATTAAGTGAGATGCAAACAAAATCTCGATGTTTACCCATAATCTAAACATGGCAGTACCCACGTTTATATGGTTAGAGCTCGACATCTGGCTTCTCTAGCTCAGTTATATTTAGAGTGCTTCACCGGGATCACAGGGCCGTGGGTTCGATTCCTACCAGGTACCTATAGCTGGGGCTAACCAAGACAAGTTCCATTTACTTTCTGCCTTGAAATTTCTGAATTTCAATATAAATGGTAAATAATTATGGTGTTTCTGTTTCCAGTTTGAAATAAAATTCGATGTTTATATTTTCAGCCCATACTCAAACAGGCCATTCAGTTTAGAGCGAGTGGTTGGTGGTCTTACATATAAAGATGGCAATATTTCAGGTGCTAGAGCCTTCAAGGCTTCGTATGCTGTCGAGTCAAAATTGGAGTTGGATAAATCTTCTGGAGAAGAGGTTAGATGGTTGCTCTAAATATCGTGAGTTTCCTATGCATGATGGGTAAGTAACATGTTCATGGTGAATATAAAAGGTCGATATTTTCGCTTTTTTTAGATTGACAGAAGAGCAATAATGTGGGAAAAAGAATTTGCCAATATTTTGGATGAATACGATGATGTGGTGTATTTTACCAACACAAAGTAAGTACATATAGTCATACATTCATTGAAAACGGCCTATACATGTACCTCTCCCATTGATATATTATACAGTCCAAAAAAGCAACAGCGTGCTATTTCAAGAACAAGGGGAATCAAACTAGCTTCATATTAATCTGACACTGGAATCGACCAACGAAAAATCGTTGGCTCGAGGGGGAATTGAACTCGCATCTTCGGGTCTAGAGACCGCCGCTTTACCTATTGAGCTATCGAGTGAACAGGGATTGGTAGCTAGTCTTATCCAATTTAAGTGCACGAAATATTTTCGTGACGACTGTTTCAATTCTATTTCAGAACCATCCTCAGAGATAAGAAAAACTCAAGTTTCATATTAATCTGACACTGCAATCGACCAACGAAACACTGCGCGTCCTCTAAGACAAGCATGAAACTAGTTTTTCGTATTTTGAGGATGGTTCTGAAAAAGTAAGTGTCTTTGTAACATTCCACCTTTTATTGTATCAAGAACATGGCCAAAATGATTTTTTGCGAGTACAAAAATAATTTAGTATCTAAGCGGCTGTTCATTTGGAGCCGGGTTAGCTCGGTTAAGTGGATAAAATCGTTTAATAAAGCTTTTATCACGGCTTTGATGAATATCAAAAATTACGTTTCAATTAAAGTTTAATTAGCTTAGCTTGGATTCTAGTAACAGTAGTAAAGTTTCTTCAAACGATTGTTTATGGTGAGGATAAAATTTTGTGACTTTTACACGATTCATCCCGGCTAACGAGGCAGGTTGAAAACCTGGCTGAAAACCTAACAGAAAAACAACAATCGTAGACAACCTTTTCTCTTTATTTCAAGCCAGTGATATACTATTCAATATAGTGATATATCCAGTGATATACTATTCTGATCAGTTCTACGGGCGCTTTTTTAGGCGAAATGCAAAAAATTTCGGGCCAAAATGAATATTAGGTGCATGCACAGTAAAGATAAACAAGACGCCAGCTCAGGCGTACACTCGGATTCCAAGGGTACCGGTTAGCATTACTTGAGGGACACAATTATGCTTGTTGTAGGAAGCGTGGAGCTAATCGTTACTGATAAGGCTATGTAGTTAGCCTGGGCGGATACTATATACAACGCGGCGGTCAAATGGAATAACAGTTGGTACAGTATTCAGTAGACATTTCTTGAGACATCGATATTCGTTTAGTTCCATTGAAAGATGTCTAAACTTTTCATGTACCGACGCTAACGAAAATGAGAAATTGATTACAGTCGATTTCATATAACTTTTGCCGAGTTTTTCTGAAGTTGGTTGCGAAGTTCCGAAGTTTACCGATGTACTTCCGAACTTGGCAACGAAGTTCGGTTTCAATTTCCGAACTTCAAAATGAATTTCCGAACTTTGAAATGAGATTTGAGAAGTGTAGCTTGTAAAACAGATTCAGGCGCGTAAATTCATGTACTCGAACTAAACATGTCTGCATCCGAAGATCTCGCACAATGGATGTCACAGTTTCAGAGTGAACTCGATGAACCATCGTATCAAATAATTTATGGAAAACTTACAGACAATCATTTCAAAACAAGAACTCAACTCAAGTTAATTTTTGCGAAAGAAGTCGATATCATGTTCAGTGCTGGGGAGCTACCTTTGGGTGCACAAGCGCTATTGCTTTACCAGTTGGATAAGCTAAGAAATGCCGAGTCGCCTCTTCCTTTGCGTCGGAAACGGACAAGAATAAATGAAAGCAAAAATTCAAAAGGTATTGATGGATTTGATGAGTGCGACGCCGATGAAGAAAATTCACTACAGCCACCGACCCATACCCCGACTGCATGCAAAGTAAGTTTGAAAAATTATACTCTTTCTAAAATAGACGTTTATCAGTTTACCTTGTAATATGTGGTACGATGACAAAATATTTTATTGATTTTACGCCGTTATATGCACGTCAGAAAAGTGATAATACATGTGACGCGATTTTCGTGAAGCATGAATAGTTTCATGCTGTTTTGGCATTTTGCAAAGCGACAAAAAATGACATTTCTGTATTCTTACATTTAGGCAGTTTTACCAGCTTTTGATGAGCAAGTGAATAAGTTAAAAGAGCAACTAAATAGAGAGAGGGATGAGCACAGAGAAATTGAAATAACAATAGAATCTATATGACGGAAAATGTCAAGGAAAAACCTGTGGTTGGAACTTCGCGAATAATCTGCAGTAATTGCCAAACAAGAGGTCATAGAAATCAACAAAACAAGCCTTGCCTTTTGCCAAAGTGTGTCGACTATACTTCTTGTGGAATGAAGGATAAACATCCTGAATATTTCTCGCGGTTAAACCGTCTAAAAAGTGATTTAAGGAGAAAGGCTAACCCAGTCAAGGAATTAGAATCACAAATACACATTTGCCCTTCATTAAACAAAAAAGAATGTCATTAAGATAATTTAAAATCTTCGACAATACAAGTCGGAATCTCAATAACACCATATGTGCAAGTCAATAAGCCTAAAAAGATATTCAATATCAACAATTTGCGCGGAATTCGATAAGAATACAAAGAACATTCAAAAACACAAAAGACGTTTTCATTCGAAAAGAAGTAACGTTCAATTAGAGATTAATGTAATTTCAACAACAACATAGGTTTATTGACAAGCAGTCATATTAACACGCAAACACATAATATGCAAACTAGTGTTATCAATCGAAATTGTACTCAATATTGTTGGTCTACGCACGTAGACCAACAATACCTAGCAAGGCATCGTAGAATATAGGTCTGCATATGCCAAAACCAAGCTGCACATTTGGGATTTATACTTTATCCAATATTTCTTTCAACAGCTTGAACAAGCAATTGTTTTCTGTATTCACCAAGGGGAAGGTGGGCATTTCTTGCCGCATTTCTTTCGGCAAAGCGTTCTTGCATAGCATGGCATGAAATATCTGCCTTAATGCTGGCCTTCAGCCTTATAGCTTGCTCGACAATATTTAGGAATGGTGAGTATGGTGGCAATATACGCATATGTACGTTGTCTCCAGGTTGCTCGGGTCGGCGATGTGCTAGTGCTCCATCGAAAATGAGATATTGAGTTTCATTTTCATCAAGGTGGGTAGCAGTACCTGCGAGAAACTTAGCGAAGGAATCATTGGTCATCCCACCCATCTGAATGGTGTGATGCACCAAACAAAAGACTTGAGATAGCGCCAGGCAAATGGTAAGGTTGCGTCCCTTTTGTCAGCACACCTGGCGATAAGCACGCTCTCCAACGCGAGCCCGTCCTTAACGTCTGGCTGTCCAGATATTGAAACCACATTCGTTGATGAAAACAGGATGATGAATATTCGCTTCTTCTAAGAACCAGTTAGCACATTCGTGGCGTCCCTCAATTACATCTGGCATGTTACGATCAGCATGTTAACGAGTACAGCATTCCGTCCAAATGTTACCAATAGTTTTTTCATGAGCTTTTGGCTCCTCAGGCATTCGACGTCGTAATTCTGTATTTATGGCCCGTAGTGACAAAGTGCAATCTTCATCTACAATTCTTTGAATAGCATTTTGTCATATCTGCATCAAATCGAACATTGAGGCATCCTCCACGTGGTTGTTCTTCGCGCAGATATCGAGTGATCATATTCGTGGTAGTTGAGCGATTCAATGCTGACGTACAGTATCAACCAAAGCCAGGTAGTCTTGATCTTGTTCTTCGAATGCACTAACCAACCGTTCCTTGTCTTCTTGTGATATTCTCTGACGTTGCGCCATTCTGACAGTACTTCAATGTACAACAAACTCACAAAAATCTCTAAAGATGATGTTATACGAAACGACTTTTATCGAACATTCCCAATGCAAATGAAGTAACCAGAAATTTGATTGAATCATTTGCCAGTTGCGCAACGCTTTCCTATGAGTATATTTGTGTTCATAACAACTTATTGAAATTACATTATTCTCTAATTGAACGTTCCTTCTATTCAAACGAAGACGTCTTTTGTGTTTTTGAATGTTCTTTGTATTCTTTTTGAATTACCATCTTTGATTAATAAATGGCTTTCAGTTTTAATGCATGACCGCGCAAAATGTTGATATTGAATATCCTTTTAGGCTTAGTGACTTGCACATAATGTGTTATTGAGATTCCGACTTGTATTTCCAAAGATTTTCAATTATCTTAATGACATTCTTTTTTGGTTTAATGAAGGGCAAATGGTGTGCAGACAATGGAAGATTTCACCTCAAATAGGGAATATCACTTTATCAAAAACTTAACACCTCGACTTTATAAAGTAGACCACAGTTACAAGTTGAACAAACCAAAACTTATGCGAGCTATTCGTATGTTACGCAAATGCACGGATGGTAAGATTCCTCCTGTTACTGCAAATGATTCCGAACAACTGCGTATACTAGCCTACTTGACAAATGCAGAAAGAATTTCAACTTGGATATAGATGCTCCCAATATATTTACAGACAGAGACAGTAAGCCGAAAATGGAAGCAGACGAACTGACATTCATGCCTATTAATAATAATTCTCCCGTAAAAAACACCTATGTTCAGTCTGAAGAATGCAGTTCTTTACCAGCTGAAGGAAAACGCAAGAAAGATAAAAAGCGACATAAAAAGCACAAGACAAAAAGACGTCGAAGGCGAAGGTATTCATCTAGTTCCAGTTCCGACAGTAATGCAGATTTTCTCGATAACTCTAAACGACCTGCGTATTTTGATAACTTTACCTGTAATAATTATTCCTCAAGTTTTCCGCCATATAGACTTTGTGGTACAAATAACATAGCAGGGTTTAGTTACATGCCAGGATACTTTCCTGCACCTCCGAATTCGGCAACACCGTACCCTATGCAAGGCTATCTTCCCACTTCGCAATTTAACATGCCACAGGCCCCATCTCCAATATTCGAAAAGAGGGATAAAACTACGTATCCTCATCATGGTTTGCATCACGACTACGATACAGAATTGCCGGTGCACACATGTACCAACCCGCGAATAGCAAATTCAATTAC